GGGGGGGGGGGGGGGAGGCAGGAAAACTGGACCAGGATGGGCCGCTCGCACGCAGCCTGACCTCTTGGTCAGCTCGTGCAGCAGCCCCGTGAGGGAGGCCATGCTAACCACTTTCCAGAAGAGGCTCAGAGGCTCTAAGACGCTGCCTGTGGCTGGCCCGTGTCGTGGGCCCGAGCTCGGCCTAGTGCTTCAGCTGGGCAGCCGGTGTGGGCTGGGCTGCGTGGTGGGGGAGGTCGGACCTGGGGCTGGGGGGAGGGGAGCCGGCTGCCCTTTTATCACTGTCCTGCCTTGTAGGGATGTTGTCCAGGAGGCCACCACAATGCTGAGGAACGCCGCCGGCAACTTCTACATCAACGACAAGTCCACTGGCTCGGTGGTGGGCCAGCAGCCCTTTGGGGGGGCCCGAGCCTCTGGTGAGTGGGTCCCCCTTTCCAGAGGGGAGGCGAGTTCCTGGCAGGAGACCTCGATCGCCTCATCTCAAGGGTGTTCAGAGTAATAGGAAGCACTGTGGGTGAGGCGCTGGGCTGTCTTCTTCCCGTTTTACAGAGGAGTAAACTGAGGCACAGGGAGGGGAAGTGACTTGTTCGAGGGCACATGGCTGGGAGGTGGTGGAGCTGGCATTTTGGTTCCAACACCCACACCTCTTACCACCATGCTCCGGTCACTTCAGCGTCCTCGTGTTGCAGTTGGGGAAACCGAGACTCAGCGTGGGCTGGCACTTGCCCCAGGTCCCAGCCGCCCTGTGGCACAGCCCAGGCCAGGCCCCGGGGCTCCTGGCTCCCAGTGCGGTGCTGGGAGACACTTCTTGCAGGTGGGGCACACAGACCCGGGGAGCGGGGGCCTCCTGTGCTCACTGGTTCCGGCCTCCCCTGACCTCCGGCCCCGTGTGCTGCACAGATGCGCTCGGGAAACCTTGGCCTTGTGAACCCGTTTCGTTTTAGTTCAGCTGCTTGTTGCCTGTGCCGGTGTCCCTGTTATTCCGTCAACTCTTCCCCGCCCCCTTTCCCTTCCGCCCGGAGCTGCTGTGTCTTTTCAGACAAAAACGGAGCTATCTTTTCCACAGGAACCAATGACAAGCCGGGAGGGCCCCACTACGTCCTGCGGTGGACGTCACCCCAGGTCATCAAGGAGACCCACGAGCCTCTGGGGGATTGGCGCTACTCATACATGCAGTGAGCCCCGCTTCGCACCTTTGCCGTCCACCTGTCCGTCCAGACGGCTGATCGGTGCACACCGGCCCCACTCCAGCCCCTTCAACTCGCTCCCCGTGGACGTCCCCCTTCCCAGGGCCAAGACCTGTCCCCCCCGCCCCACACCGGCCCACATCCTGGCCTGTCCCACCCTGCAGGGGCAGGTGCGGGCTCTAGTTTGAGACCATGCTGGGGAGGAACAGGGCCACTCCCCTGTCTCACCGGCTGTGCTAGAACTTCTGTCTGGTAGGTCTGACCTGGTGCCCCGTCAGTTCTTTGCCTCTCTTTTCCGGCCCGCTGGCTCAGGGACCTGGGGAACGGCAGTAACGGAGCTCCCGGGATCCTCTGGGGGAAACGGAGGCGGCTCTGGGAGCCTTGGCAAACCTCAGCATCCACAGGGACTCCTGGCCTTGGCCTCGGCTCCTCCGGCTCTCCGGGATTCGGTGTGACCCAGGGTGGCCTGCAGGGCACAGAGGACACCAGCTGGCCTTGCCCTCTTGGATCTGGGCCGCCCACCGTCCTCACTAGCTGTCCTAGCCAGCGGGTACTTCTGCCTGACCACATGCCTTAGACACCCGTGTGCCTTTCTCCAGGGTACCTGTGTTCTTTGGAGGCCATGCGATTCCTGGCAGTCTCTATGTGGTGGGCCTGGGGTTCCCCCTCAGGAGCTCAGTCTCCACTGGCCGAGGTAGAACAGGCCCGGGGAGACTTTGCTGCCACCTTCTTCTGACCCGAGAGCCAGCTTGAGTTCCCGTCCAGCCCGGGCTGGGGATTGCCTGGAGAACCTTCCCTCCTTCGCACAGAAGTGGCTCCATGTGGACTGGGCCCTAGTGGCCCCTTCTTTGATGCAGCCAGTAGGTGGAAATTCACCAAAACCTGCTAGTTGGATTGCAGGCGGCCGGGGATTAGTAAGGGGTGACTTTGGAGGACAGTTCCCAGGGGACCCTGAGAGTGCTGGCCCTCCCTCAAGGACAGCCGGCCTGGAGTCCCCCATGGGGCTGGCCCCCAAGCACCATGGTTCTACACTGGCCCACGGTCAGGGTATGATGCTCCCCAGGCGTCCTTCCACATTGCTGTTGCCTTGCAAGTTCCGCGTTGTTCCCTGGAGAGGCCAGGGCAGTCTGCTGGGGAGAGGTGCTGGAGATGTTCCCGGTTCCACTGATGCTACACTGTGAGGGGGCAATGAGATTAGTTCTGATGCCACCCAATAAATGCTTGTTACTTAAGTTGGTGGTCTCTCTGGTGGGGGCGGGGGGGACCGGCCAACTTCGCCAAAGGCTGATGGTGGTGTTCACACGTCCTTCGGGACAGGCGTGCAAGGCCCTCGTGTGACAAGAGGGCGGGCGGGCCCTGATGTCTGGGGCTATGTGCTGGAGGTATGGGCGCTCTGGAGTCAGGTGGGTTCAAACCTGGGTTCAAATCCTGGCTCTCGGCCTCCCAGCTGATGATCTTCAAAAAGTTATGCAACCTGGGGATAATAACACCCACACCCCCCCCCACACACACACAGAATACAATGAGTTATTCCATGTAATTGTTTAGAACGACACCAGACACAGAATTCATGGTTCAACCACGTCAACCATTTATACGTTCTCACAGCCACTGTTAACTGTGCTGTGGTGGTTAAGTTTATGCGTCAACTTGACTGGGCTGTGGTATTTAGTTAAACAGTATTCTCGATGTCTCTGTGATTGCGGTTTTCGGGTAAGATTGACATTTAAATCAGTGGCCTCCAGGTAAAGCTGATTGTTCTCCACGATGCGGTGGGCCTCATCCAATCAGTCGAAGTCTTACTAGAACACAGACTGACCTCCCTCAAGCAAGAGAGAATTCCTCCCAGTAGACAGTCCTTGGACTCAGCCGTGACTCTTCCCTGGGTCTTGTACTCTGCAGAGTTTGCGTTTCACCAAGCCAACAGGAATGTGCGAGCAGTGTCCTTATGCTAAGTCTCTCTGTATATGCGGTTGGTTCTGAGCCTCTGGAGGACTTTGTGTCCCAACAGCCTGAAGTACAGGCTCCATGCTCCCATTTTGCAGAGAGGAAGGCGGGGAAGGGACGTGGCCATGGGTGCAGCATATCATTGGGATGTAAAGCCAAGTACGTCTGATTCCCAAACCCATTCTCTGTGCTGACTCCCAGATGCCCATACATGGCACTGACGTGCCTTGGAAAGACCTCGGCTGGCCACGTGATGCGGAGGAGAGCAACCGTGGCCCAGTTAGCATGAGCCCAGAATCTGTGGGTCTCAGGCCACACGGGCCAGCGGACTTGGGGCGGGGGGAAGCCGTGTGTCTGTCTGTCTCCATTCAAAGGATGTACAAGGAACCCGCTGCTGGCCACGTGACCCCTCCCTGTCCCGGGGCCCGTTGATCGGGGCTCTTGGCGTGCGGGGTATTGGAGCTGCGGGCAGGGGATGGAGACTCCGCCCTTGGCGGGGCCCCCACCTGGCTCACCCAGGGGGCTTCGCTCAGGGACAGAGCGCGGGCCCCGGAAGCCCAGGCTGGAGCTCCCAGGGGGGCAAGGTGGTGGCTGCCTGTGGGATGCGTAGGCCTGTTAATGACCTTGAGCAAATGGAGCGACTTGCTCAAGGTCACACCCTGAGATGGGAGCAGAGTTGGCTTTGTCCCCCTAGTCTCACCCAGCCTGACACTGAGCTTACTGGGTCACTGTTCTCTGCCTTCTGTGGAAGGGCTGCTTAGTAGGAGCTCTGGGGATTGAATGCAGGTGTGGGCGCCCACAGCCCATGCCCCTTGCCACCTGCTCCGTCGGGTCCCCCATTTCCAGCTGGTCCTCTTCCACTGCCCTCCCCCCGACCTGGTGCCTTCGCCACCGTTTAACTAGGGCATCGGCGGGTCCAAAGCCACTGCCCTCTCTGTTCCGCTGCTCTCGTGCCCCACTGTGGGGCAGGTGGCTCCCGAGGGCCCGGGGCCCTTCCTCCGCATGACCGCCACAGCAAGTGCCCGTGTCCCCGGTGGCCCAAGGAGCCTCTTCATTTCCCTGCTGTGGTCGCGGGCCCAGCCACAAGTCCAGGCTCAGAGCGTGAACCATTTGCCTGAGGCTGACGTCCCCGCCACCGCTGTCCCCACGGGCTGCCAGTCAGGCGTGCGCTCTAGGGAAATGAGGGGCCACCTGTGCCGGTTCCTGGCCTCCAGGCTGACCTGGAGCTCCTGGGGAGCTCGAGGAAGAGGCAGGGTGGAGACCCACCCTCTTCACAGAGTTGTGCCTTCCTTGTCATTAATTCACCGCCAGGCGCGTCGCCACAGTCCCTCCGCGTGCGGTCTGTCGGGGACCAGCGCGGTAACAGAGCAGGAGCCACGTTGCCGGGATGCAGCCGGTGCGCCAGGCGCTGTGCTGAGTCCTCAGGTCCTCACTGCAACCCCGAAGGCGCTTCTGTTGCTCCCGCTTTACAGGTGGGGAGACTGAGGCACGGGTGGGTGCAGTAACTAGTAAACCTGCGGGAGATGATGCCCATCTCTGCCTGCCAGGCTTTTGCGCATAAGCACCGCTTCAGTGCCCCAGAGAGACACTTTTTTTTGAGAGAGGGAGGGAGAGAGAGCATGAGCAGGGGAGGGGCAGAGAGAGGGGGACAGAGGATCCGAAGCTGCCAGGCTCTGTGCAGACAGACAGATGCAGGGCTCGAACTCACAAGCCGTGAGTGAGCTCGTGACCTGAGCCGAAGTCAGACGCTCAACCGATGGAGCCACCCAGGCGCCCCTGAGACCTTCTTATTTTCAACCCCTCCCTCACACCTTCACCCTGGATACCTGTGCCCAGGAAGGAGGAGAAGCCGGGCCTCACTGAGCACCTGTTTCTGGCACAGCTGCTCCCAGTCGTTATCTTGGATAGGACCGGCCTGTGAGGGAGGCGGGATCATCTTAGCCCCATTTCACAGATGAGGAAGCTGAGGCTCAAGGAAAGAAGGCCCGCTCAGTAAGGGGCAGGGACGGGATTTTTCCTGGTGGCCATACCAGCACCCCTTCCGCCCTGCTCCCTGGCAGGAACACAGCAGCTTCTGGGCGGGGGCCGCGCCGTGAGCCGGCAGGATGAGGCACGCCTGTCGCTGTGGCTCCAAACACAAGCAGCCAGTCTTGACTCTCTCAGGATGTTGGCAGCCACTCCAATGGTGGAGCAGGTGCCACACGACCCTCAGGTGCCCGAGGCACATCACAATGCTGCCCCGGGGCTCTGCTGTGTCCTCTCTCCAGGCCCCAGGCGCCCAGGCAGTCGCCCTCAGTCCCCGGAGCGTTTGGCGCCCAGGGGCCAGGGCGGATCGAGGCAGCAGATGCTCAGACACCTGCGCCATGACATGAGTCCAGGCAGGCATCGGGAGCAGAGCGGGGCTCAGGGAGGGACGTGCCTGGGCGAGGTCACGCAGCCAGTAAGCAGCAGAGCCAGGATCGGCACCCAGGTTGGGCAGATCTGAGCCTTAGAAAGAAGAGCCGTAGAGAGTCAGGGACCCCGGCCTTTTATGGGGGTGAAGATCGAGAGTGCCGTGCCAGGGACAAAGCCATGGACGCTGGAGTGTAGGGTATTTGTTAGCACCCATCGAGCACATTCTTGCATCCCTCCCATTTACTCGCTCCCACTGAGGGTGGTTTGGACCACTTTATGGGTGAGGAGGCAGAGAGGACTCAGAACCCCTGCCTGGCCCCTGTCCACTGGGCTGAGCCCTTAGGGCCCAGGAACGGGACCACCTCACCCCCACCCTAGGCCTCTGCACTCCCGTCGAGGGCTCCCTGAGTCTTCTTCTCCAGGAGCAGCACCCCCTTTCTTCACCTCCCTGTGGGACACGGTTTCTGGTTCTTTATCCACGCCGTGGCCTCCTGCAGGGGCCACCCCGTCCGCTTCACTTCTGACGTCTAAACCTCTCAGCGGGGTGACTGATGAGGTTAGGGTCTCTGGAAACTGGCCCTGAGGCCTCCCCGGTGACCCTCCTTTGAGGATCTCTGAGCCAGGCTGGCTGGGGTCGCCTGTCCGCCACACCTTCCCAGGGGAGGAGGTCCTGCCCACCTGCCCCTGGCCCCACCGTAAGCCAGACCGGAGCCGGGTTTCCAGCCACCCACTTTTGTCCCGGAGGAGGCAGCACGGGCCGGAAAGAAAGAGGGGAAATGGGGAGTGGGGTGCAGGGTAGCAGACGGAAGGATGTGCAGGTCAGAGGACAGATTGGAGGGTCGGGTGGGGGAGAGGAGCTGCTGTGCCCCCTCCATCCCTGGGGCAAGGCCTCACTTGGGGGTGCCCCCTGCACGCCATCCCCCCTCCAACCATCTTGGCAAGGGGAGGAGGGAGGTTCAGGGCGGCCCCTTCCAGCCCGAAGCAAATGGAGCTAGTTCCTCTCCGTGAACACGGGGCGGCAGATCTAAGGCAAATTCACGGCCTTTCCTGGCCCCCGTTTTCTTGTCGCCTCCCCCCCCGCGTACTTTGCGTAAGCCTATCATGGCTCTCCATCACCTCGGCCGCCAGTGGCCACACAGAGGTGAACACGGGGACGTTGGGCCCGCACTGGGCCACGCGGGTGACAGTTGTGTCAGGCCCAGGCCACCCTGGGGCGCGTGCTGTGTGTGCAACCCTGAACGAGAGTCACGGCACCACAGGGTTCCCGGACGCTTGTCCTCGGAGCGGCCCGCACCCCAGCCTCACCCACCTGCCCCTCCCAGATGATGTCAAGGCCACGGGGGCTGCGGAGATGATCCAGTCCGGGGCACCGAAGCCCAGGGCTCACGCAGAGCCTCGTGCACCGAGCCTCGCGCACCCTGGGGTTTGAGTCACTGGGTGTGTGTGCGTCAGCGTTCAGGGCTTTCATCAGAATCTCAAAAGGATCCTCATCCTCGAAATGTGAAGAGCATTCATCCCATTTTATGCGTAGGGAGGCCGCAGCCCAGAGAATGGCAGTGACTTGCCCAAGGGTAGTGGCTGCACAGCTGGCCGGGAAACCAAGGCTCCTGGCTCCCCGTCTAGATTTTGGCCTTCAGAGAGATCATCCCTGTCAAGGGGGCCCCTTATTCCTTTCCCCTGGGAGCCCCTCAGTCCCCACCACTTTCTGCAGCCCCCATTCGGGTCTCCGATTCCTCCAATCCACTCACTCGCTGTGTGGCTCTGGATAAGTGACTGTCCCTCTCTGAACCTCAGCGTCCTCATCTGCAAAGTGGAGACATAACAGCACATCAGAAGGTCGCGAGAACAGGGGCACCTGGGAGGCTCAGTCGGTTAAGCATCCGATTCTGGATCGCGGCTCAGGTCATGATCTCCCGGTTCGTGAGTTCAAGCCCCGCATCGGGCTGTGTGCTGACAGCACAGAGCCTGCTTGGGATTCTGTCTTCCCTTCTCTCTGCCCCTCACCTGCTTTTGCTCTCTCTCTCTCAAAATAAATAAATAAACTTAAAAAAAAAAAAAGGAAGGTAGTGAGAAAAAAGTGGGATGGCAGAGATGGAGAGGGCTCCACGCGGTACCTGGCATGCCGCGAGCCCTCAGAACCCGTTAGCGACGGAAGTGACCTGTGTGCATCGTCACCACCATCCCAGCGGGCCTCGAGGCTTCGACCCTGCCTCCCCCGCAGAGCTCACAGTCTCCGAGGCTCCGGGCCACGTCCCCCGGGTGTCCTGTCTGTGTCCCTCGAACCCCGCCCAGCCCTGCCGCACCGTGAGCTAGTCAGCGCCTGCTGGGTTCGCGGCTCTCTCCGCCATCGTGCACCCTGGGGCTGGGGCCACACCCAGGGGCTCCAGTTAATTTAGATGCTTTCTTTCTCTGCCATCTGCTTACCCCCAAGCTTGGTTAGAGAGCCTGACTTTGCTGGGAGTCTCCAGAACGTCCCGGGACCTCCCAGCAACCAGCATCTTTATTCTCCCTCCTTAGAACTGACGCGTGCAGTCGCTGTGCCTCTGCAGCTCAGAGCAGGGGTGGTTCCTGTGAACTGGGGCCAGGGGTGGTTTCCTGGAGGGGGCAAGGCACCGACTAGTCCTCGAAGAAGGAGCCGGGCTTGGCTGAGGTGGGACAGGGGGAGAGCATGAGGTTTTCGGCCAGCTTTCTGTGCCTGGGAACCCCCTCTCCCCACAACCCTGGATCCCAGAGGCCTTAATGGGCCCCAGCTGTAGCAGACTCGTCTGTGTCGAGCATTCCACAGTAGGTGTCCCCAGGCTCCCTCCGGGCCACCAAAGGACCACGACGACATTACGCGGACAGGGTCTCAGATTCCGATGGGTGCCCTGTTTGCTGGAACCATCTCCCTTTGGAAATTTTCAGCTCTCTTTTCTGACAGTAACCCCGCCCCTTGGTGCTGGGTACGGAGAGGGCACCCAGAGCGGGGCTCACCCGGCAGCGCTGACTGCTGCGTTGTCGGGCTAACGGGTATTAACCGCCTCCCTCGCCACTCCCATTCTCTTAGCTGCTGAAACGCTGCTTTTCAGCAAAGGCCGTGGCCTCATGATGTTATACGTCGCGGAGATTGAGAACCAGGTCCTAGCATCTGACTATGTGCTTCGAGTCCCCACTTTTGCTGGTTGTGCGACCCAGGGTGAGCTTCGTAAGCTTCTCTGTGCCCCAGTTTTCTCATCTGTGGAATGGGGCCGGTCATAGTCCCCGTTATTGTGATCATCGAGCAAGATGGTGAATGGCGAGTGCACAGCATGATGCCTGGTTCTTACTGGAACACCTGTCCTGGGTCAGGGGCCGTATATAAAGTACTACCTGCCAGGATCAACTTGATCCGGTTCTACTCTGTCTCCTGGGTGAGTATCTGTGCCCTTTACTCCCAGATGTTGGAAATGTCAGGGGCACGGGACCTGTCCTTAACCGAGTGGCAGAAGGTTAAGTTTGTGTCCGAGATAGCAGGACATGCTTTCTCTACCTCCACAGGGCGTTCTCCCAGACCCCCCAGGGCCCACCATGCCCTAGGAAGGGATCATCCTAATTCTAGCCTCTTCTTCCCCCCCAGAGTTCTCAAGCTTCTCCACCTGTCCAGGTGTTTCCCCACCCCTTCGGCCATGGCAAGACCGTCACTATGTAAATGTCTGTGCAAATCCCCTGGTGTCAAGCTGCCAGCTCTCTGATGAGGCAGGGCCACCTCCGGGGACCCCTCACTTCCCAGCCATGGGACCCCGGGCCTGGGAAGTCTGCTCCCTCATCATCCTGCCATGGCTCCTGGCTGAGCCGGCTGAGAACTCAGACTTCTACTTGGCTGGGGATTACCTCCTCGGCGGCCTCTTCACCCTCCATGCCAACGTGAAGGGCATCGTCCACCTCAACCTCCTGCAGGTGCCCCAGTGCAAGGGGTGAGTCGCCAGTGTGGGGCTGGAAGTGGCGATGGGGGCAGAGTGGGAAGCCTGGGCTGGTCCTGTGCTCCTCAGGGGACCACGCCAGGACCAAGGGCTCAAAATGCTCCTCATTCATTGCCAACCTCTCATCCTGCATTATCCCCACCGGCCCGCAGGGAGACCCCATGCAGTTCATGTTACCAAAATCGTTGGCAATTGTATTCTGAAATATGGAGAGCTGGTTGTCCCGCCGTGTCTCTTTTTTTTTTTTTTTCAACGTTTATTTATTTTTGGGACAGAGAGAGACAGAGCATGAACGGGGGAGGGGCAGAGAGAGAGGGAGACACAGAATCGGAAACAGGCTCCAGGCTCTGAGCTATCAGTCCAGAGCCTGACGCGGGGCTCGAACTCACGGACCGCGAGATCGTGACCTGGCTGAAGTCGGACGCTTAACCGACTGCGCCACCCAGGCGCCCCTACCGCCGTGTCTCTTAATAAATAAAGAGTTACAGGGTGTTTGAGCCTGGAGGGGTTGTAGAGACCACCCCCACCTACTTTGTCAAGTGGGGAACTCCTACTGAGTCCGTGTCAAGTCCAAGTCTAGACACCAGGGGTTATGCCTTTGGAAGGCAGAAATGTGGTTTTTCGGTAGCAGGTTCTCAGACTGGAGGGGAAGGTTTGCATTTCTCTAGGGCTGTGGTTAGGTGGGAAGGGGTGCTTCCAGGACCAGAAGGGATTTCCTCCACTCACCTTGTCCCCTGTGAGCCCTGGGGGTGGCTGCATCACTCAAGGTTGGGTGAGACACCTTTGTGCAAGCGCGAAGGCTGGGATAGCGGACCCAGCGTGGGATGATGAGATAGTGACTTGGTGCAGAGAGGGTGAAGGCGTCCTGTGAGAGAGGGAGAGAAACAAGAGTGTGTAAAAGCTGACTGTAAGAAATGCACCCTTTATGTGACGTTGGGGAAGATCACATGCTGGCTTGAGAATGACGAATGTGGTGGTACCAGTGACGGCACATTGGCGAATGAATGTTCTGATGCCGCTGATGACGGAGGGGAGTTCAGTGATGGTGGTGATGCTGATAAGATTGATAGCAGTAATAATGGTGATAATGCAAGTAGTGAAGAGTATGGTGAGGATGGCGGTGGTGGTGATGGTGTTGGTCATGGTGGTGGTGATGATGGTGGTGGTGATGGTGATGGTGGTGATGGTGGTGATGGTGATGGTGGTGGTGATGGTGTTGGTCATGGTGGTGCTGATGATGGTGGAGGTGATGGTGATGGTGGTGATGGTGACTGTGGTATTGGTGATGGTGGTCACAGACATGCAGTTATAGTGATGGCAGTGGTGATAGGAATAGTAGGTGATGATGGTGATTCTGGAGATGTGGCAGGTGACAACGATGAGATGAAAATGCCAGAATCTTCTGGAGTGGCTCCTTCTTGGGCCACTCCTCGGCTTTCCTATGGCAGGCAGAGGGGACTCCCCGGCTCTCCCATCCCTTCCCCTCTCACTCTGGACCTGCCTCTCACCGCACCCCACGTGGCTCCCCCAGGTATGAAATAAAGGTGTTGGGCTACGATTTCATGCAGGCCATGAGCTTTGCAGTGGAGGAGATCAACAGCCAGAGCAGCCTGCTGCCTGGCGTGCTGCTGGGCTACAAAATGGTGGATGTCGCTACATCTCCAACAATGTCCAGCCCGTGCTCCACTTCCCGGCAAAGGAGGACTGTTCCTTGCCCATCCAGGAGGACTACAGCCACTGTGTGCCCCGTGTGGTGGCTGTCATTGGCCCTGGCAACTCTGAGTCCACTGTAACTGTGGCCCACTTCCTCTCTCTCTTCCTCCTTCCACAGGGGAGGCCCCTGGGTCCTGGGGTAAGGAGCTGGGGGGCAGAGGAGTGGTTATCCAGGGGGCTCACTTCCCCCCACCGGTCCTGGGGGTAGGAGGAGGCAGGAAGTAGGGTCAGAATGTCAACCCCAATCCTAGGAAGGCAGCCCAGCCACTTGGTTAAGAGCTCAGGCTTTGGAGGCAGACAGGGCTGGGTGTGCATCTTGGCTGTGCGTCTTGGCCATTATGAGGTCTTGAGCAAGTCTCTTAACTCTCTGAGCCTCATCTTCCCCACCTATAAAATGGGATGATAAGAGTTCCATCCTAGGACTGTCTGAACGTTAAAGGATTTAAGCTATGTAGGAGTTTGTAGGACACAGAAGCTAGTCGCTTATGTAATGGTACGTAAAGCATCTTGCACAAAGATGAAAACTCAGGAAGTGCTCGACATTATCTTGTACGGTTGCCCGGCACAAGGCGTGACGCCTAAGAGGTCCTCAAAAAAGTGCCATTGGTATGACTACTGTCATTGTAAGTGTTGTCATCGTCATGATTAAAGGTGCCTCGACCAGAACTGGCATAAGGTTTTTATGCATTAAAAAAAAAAGTTTTTATGCCCTAAAAAGCAACTAGCACGAGGCTTGGCACATAGTAGGTAGTTACACTGTTTGCTGTCATTTTTGTTATGTAAAGTGCCATGGGTCTGACACATAGCAGGTGCTTAGTAAACATTAATACGCTTACATGAGGCATCTCGTCCAGGACTAAACTCATTCTTTCTTATGTTTAACAAATATTTATGGAGCAGGTGCTGTTGTAGGGCTGGGGATACGGCAGGGAACAACACCTAGAGCTCATCTCCTGGTGGGAGAGCCAGGCCATGTCCGTAAACACTGTGATATAGGCCGTTGGAAAGTGAGATGTGCACCGGACAGAATGAAAAGGCCAGCAGGGCGAGGGAGGCTGGACAGGTCGGTGGGCAGGCGGGTAGGGGGAGACCTCAGTTTCAAGCGGGGTGGCCGGGAGGGTCTTTCTGACAACTGGACAATGACCTGAGGGAGGGGAAGGAGTGAGGGAGCTATGTGGGTGCCTAGGAGAAGAGTGCTCCGGAAGAGGGGGCAGCGAATGCAGAGGCCGGCAGGAGCCTGGTGCATTGGCTGAACCGGTGAGCAGCCCCGGGACCAGGCGGGACAGTAGGAGAAGATGAAGCCAGAGAGGTGAGGGCCGGGGTCAGTGGTGGAGCCCCTTGGGGGCCACTGAAGGACTCTGGCTGTCCTAGAGTGACATCAGGAGCTGTTGGGGAGTTTTGAGCTGAGGAGTAAGGTGACGGACAAGTGGTCGCAGAGGCCACCCGGCTGCCACAAACAGCAGCAGAGACAGCCAAGGGGAAGGGCGGGGGGATGCTGTGGTGACCCCGGGGCGGGGGGGGGGGGGGGGGGGGGGGGGTGATGGCGGCCTGGTGAGACCCTAGCTCACGCTGGCGGCCCTCCGCTCTCGGGCAGATCACCTACAGCGCCATCAGTGACGAGCTACGGGTCAAGCAGCGCTTCCCGTCCCTTCTGCGCACAGCGCCGGGCGCCGATCACCAGATCGAGGCCATGGTGCAGCTGATGTACTTCCGCCGGAACTGGATCATCGCGCTGGTGAGCAGCGGCGACTGCGGCCGCGATGACAGCCAGCTGCTCAGCGATCGCCCGGCCGGCGGCGACACCTGCATCGCCTTCCGGGAGACGCTGCCCATAACCAGGCGGTGACGCAGTGGGAGCGCCGGCGCCTGAAGGCCATCGTGGATGAGCAGCAGCGGCAGAGCTCTGCGCGTGTCGTGGTCCTGTTGTCGCCAGAGCTGGTCCTGCACAACTTCTTCCGCGAGGTGCTCCGCAGAACCTCACGGGCGTCGTGCCGATCGCCTCTGAGTCCTGGGCCATCGACCCGGTCCTGCACGACAGGCCCACGCACTGCACAGCCTCCTGGGCTGCACCCAGACCAGCCGCTCAGGGTCGTCTATCCCTGGCAGGTGAGGCCCCGCCCACGGAGAGTCGGGGCCACACAGCTCAGTCGCCGCCACAGCCCTGAGTGGTTGCCATGGAGACCACTGTCCTGCTCTAGCGTCCCCCTCTCTGGCCGGGTCCTGGGCAAACTGGCGGGAGAGGCCAGGGGACGTACCCTGTCCCCAGACACATAAAGCCAGAAGTATTTCATGGTGACAAAACTCCTTTTTTTTACATTAATGTAGTCCTCGCCATCCAAGATAGCCTGTCCCGGCAGGAGATTTGGGTGAAGTTCCCTGGAAGGAGGCCTGGCAGGCAGTGGGCACCCCGGGCCCCCTGCCGTTTCTCCAGGGTGGCGGCCTTGGGGGAGGACTTCTGTGTTCAGCTCTCTGAGGCTCTGCCTTGGGTTTATGCATCTTCTCTCATCCCAGGTCTGGACGATTCAGAGGAGTAAGGAGGCAAGGAGTCGCCTGGATTCAGACCTGGAATTTAAATCTGTATTTTTACTGAGGATCTGGAGGACCAGAGGGGAATTTCATCAGAGATGCACACTGTGCTTGAATGCTTCCTTGTTCGTTTGTTTGCTTTAAAGTTTGGGGCTTAGGTACTCCCCTAACGCTGTCTATATTTTGTCTTTATTCTCGCCTTCCTCCCCTCTTCTCGATCCCCCCTCCCCATATGCTTGTCTGCTTCCTCCACAGAGCCATTGAGTTAGCCCTTTCAAAAACTCCCCCTTTCCCTTAATCTATTTGTTTGTAACCTCTCCACCCCATAATCTCAGAGCCTAACCTTGCAACCCTAAGTGCTTATTTTTTTCTAAAACTACAATGATTCTTTAAAGGAATTCTAGCCTCAACCAGCAGAATATTGTATTTTACTGTGTGCCCTGCTACATTAATAATATACATAATTATTATGGGTGCTTTACTGTCTTTTGAGCATCCAGTGGGCCATGAGTGCCTGGTGTACATCACCCTAACTCGTGGCCATCCTACGAGGTCGATAATCCACAGATAGGAAGGCTGAGACAGGGAGTCAAAGTGACCTGTCTGTGGTGGTTTTAGTGGTGAGCAGTGTTTCGTGGCTTTGAACCCAGGTCGGCCCTTTGAACCCACTGATTTTCCCACCGTACTGTTCAGCTTTCCTAGACAACTGTGGCAATGGCTGTGATGAAGGACCAGTTGACTTCTTTCCTCTCCCAACAGTGGAGACCAAAGAGCACCAATCATGGCAACTCATTTCCTGAGCACCTGCGATGTGCCGGGCCCAGGCTGGGCACTGCGGGTGCCCCGGACCCTCACCCTGGGAAGGACAAGGACAGTCGGGAAGATCTGTCTCTGCCGAGTGCTGCAGGAGGTCAGAGTTGCAGTGTGTGTGTGTGTGTGTGTGTGTGTGTGTGCGCGCGCGAGAGAGAGAGAGGCGGCACCGCTGGGAGTGAGAAGGGCCAGGGAGGCACTGGACATCTCAGGAGGAGAATGGTGGTCTGGGTCGTGCGATCAGGCCACTGTGACCAAAGGATGGGGGACGAGGGGAGCTGCAGGTGACACTGGAGGGCATTCAGTGCCGGATGAAGGAGCTGGGGCTTTGCTCTGGACGCAGTAGCAGCCCACAGTGAGTTCCAAGGCAAGCACCGAAACTGCTGTTTTGAAGACAATCCAACAAGCCAGTTTAGGGTGGAGGTGGAGGGGTGACAGGGACAGGAAGCAGGGAGCCCAGCGCACCATCCCATGGCAACATCACCCAGGGTCTCCACTGGTGTGAACAGTGGAAATGATGCCCTTTTGTGCAGACGCGTTAGACCACGATGCCCTCTGCCCGGGGTAGATGCCACCCTACCGCAGGCACACGGCCCGGTGAGGGGATGAGCTGAGCTCCGGCTGTCCCTCTCCATTACCCCAAAGGCCCCACTTGTGCAGGGCCCCCTCCCCCCAATGCTGGGTCATGCCACGCCAGCCTGTGGATTTTTGTCGTAACTCTTACCCCGAAGTGTCTTTGTTGTGTCTATTTACTTGTTTTCTTGTTTATCGGCTCTTCCCCACCACCCTCCTCCTCCCAGACATAGGCCGGGGAGAGCAGGGACCTTTCAATCCTACCGTCCTGTTCTGTGCTGTATCCTGAGCTGCTGGAACCGGATCTGGCTCAGAGTTGACTCTCAGTGGATATTTCTTGAATGAATGAATGAATGAATGAGCCCCTACTATGTCCCGGCACTATGCTAACCCCTTTGTGTGAATTATCATCTATCCCCAGATGCCCTGTGACTAACCACTGTTACTCGATGGTTGCTGCCCATACAGAGGGGAGATGGAGGTTCATAGGAGTGACGGTCACCCAGCTAGGGAGTGGCCAGGGGGTGGTGATGCTCCAGGACAGGGGCAGTGGGGATGGGGAGGAGGGCGCCCCTCGGAGAGGCGGGGAGGAGGGGGAGGCCCAGGTGAAGGGGAGACTTGGAGATAGAGGCCAAGAGGACACTCCGCCCATGATGATGGGGAGGGTGCGATTAGGGGGAGACTGGGGAAAATCCAGGCTGGCAAATGAGAGGGGGCTTTGGGAGTCCAAGGGAAGATCTTCAGCAGGTCGTGGAATCATAGAGCGTTGGAGTTGCAAGGTGTTCTCAGAGTCTTGGGGTCCAATCCTTTTACTTAATGGGGTTGGGACTGGGGCCCTTGGGGCTCTAACAGTGACCAGCCGGCCGGGACCACAGGCCACCTGCTCACCACCCTCACTGGCTCTTCGCTGCGTCCTTCTCTCCGCCTCTGTCCACCCCAGCGTCTCAGCTGTGGCCCATCTGTCCGTCCGTTGGGAGGCAGAGCTTTGTCCTCAGGCAGACCTGGGTTTGAGTCCAGCTTGGCCCCACTAGCGGTGCAACCTGGGGCAAGTTAATTAATATCTCTGAGCCCCAGGTTTCCCCTGGAAAGGATGATACGCACCCTGCTGAGTTTTTGTGAGGATTAGCAGTGATGTGCGCACATTACCTGCTGCCGAGTAGAAGCCGAATGTCCTCCTCTTTCTCCTCATTCATTGCTGACACCAGTGTCTAGACAATAATACTCCAGGCCTCCTCCACTCAGGAGGGTTGCAGGGACAATACTTTCTGACCCCCTGCCTTCGAGCCCTGGAATCCGACACCAGGACCTGGTTCCCTGTGGGCCCTTCACGGCATCCGGATCCCCATCCAGAGGCCGCCACAAGGGAGGAGTTTCCTCCTCTCAGCTCCCAAGACCACTGCCCTCAGTCCCAGCAACATGTGCAAATTCCAAAGCGGCTTCTGGAGACCTCACTCCCTGGGCAGAGCAGGAAGAAGGCTAGGGCCCGAAGCACTTGGCTGTCTGTCTGTCAGTCCCCGAGGCGAGGTGAGCTCTGGACCCCCAAGACATAGCCCAATAGACTCATTTATGGAGGGAAAGCCGAGGAGTCAGATTGATGGGGTATCTAAGTTGGAAGCTCTTTCGAGGGCAGGGTTGGGGGGTGGTCAGCCCAGAGAGGTTCAGTGACTTGGCCAAAGTCACACAGCAAATTGAGGAAGGAGCTCAGATTGGAATTCAGGCCAAAGGATGCCCAGTCCAAAGTGTGTTCCAGTTTGTACAGCTTCCGCATTCTCAGAGTGACGGGGGATGGCACGGGGGAGAGACCGGAGGGTCGCCTGCAACTGTGGGGAAGCCGGAAGCACCCAGGGGGCAGGGGTGAGGGCAGCTGACCCTTGCAAGTGAGAGAGACGGTGGACTCTGGAGCCCAGGTGTTGGGTCCCCGCGGGATGGCCGAGGTGACTTCCAGGGAGCAGGAACAATGTCGACACCTCGGCCGGAGGGGAGCACTTCCTAGTTTGCAGGCCCTGTGCTAAGCTCCCAACATTGGAAAACTCATGTGTTGCTTCAGAGCCCGGGAGACAGGGTTTTTGTTGTCCTACTTTGCAGAAGAGGAGACCGGAGCTCATGGAGGTTGGGCGACAGGCCCAAGGCTCAGAGCAGGTGGCAGAGCTGGTGCCTGAAACCAGGTGTGTCCGACTACAGAGCCGGGGCTCCCAGCCGCTGCCTCCCGGGTGGCCACATCTGCGGTCTCATTGCCCCCTTGTAGGGATACGGACACCCAGTCTCGTGGGGTAGTCACTCTCCCCCAGATCGGGCCCGACTTCTGACGCCAGCTTCGCTTCCTTTCCCTGTGGCCTCTCCAGCTGCTTCAGGAAATCTGGAAGGTCAACTTCACCCTCCTGGGCCACCAGATCTTTTTTGACCAGCGAGGGGACCTACTCATGCGCCTGGAGATCATCCAGGGACGGTGGGACCTGAGCCAGAACCTTTCCGGAGCATCGCCTCCTACTGCCCGGTGCTACGACGGCTGAGGGCCATCTGTGACGTCTCCTGGCACACGGCCAACAACACGGTCAGCTCTCGGAGGGCTGGTGGGGGGCTGGGACCTGGGTCTGGGCACTGGCTCGTGCAGGCGTGGCAAGGGCCCTGTGGACCTGAGATCCATTATCGAGCACTGATGGCGTCCCTATTTGTGGGTGTCCCTCCTCCCATTGACTAAGCACTGTGGAAGTCTAGAGATTTCTGGATCCTCAGGACCCAGGGGCTCAGGGGGCTGCGCAAAGTGAACGTTAGGTGGACACGTGTGTGCTAAGGACTTCAATTCTCATGTCAACCCTGGGAAATAGAGAGTACTGTTCCTCCTGTCTTTGGGGTTGGGAAACTGGAGGCACAGAGGGGGTCGCGTGACCCATAAAAGGCCACACAGCTTTCGCACGTCTCTATACGCAGCATTCAGTCTACATCCCATCGATTAGTACTCGCGTTTTGGGGACAGTAGCTGTGTTCACCTGTGTCTGACATCTGTCAGTCTGAAAGCTCCTTTGTTTTACCCTCTTAGCTTACAAGCTGTCAGAATGGCCGTGATGTGGGGAAGGGTAGAGACCGAGCCTCGTGGGGAGGGGGGGAGGTAGGGGGATCTAAAAGTTCAAAGAGCCAGGGCACCTGGGTAGCTCAGTCGGTAAAGCATCCGACTCTGGATCTCAGCTCAGGTCTTGATCTCAGGGTCGTGAGTTTAGACCCCTGTGTTGGGCTCCATGCTGGGCGCGCAGCCTACTTAAAAATAATAATAAAACAAAAGCTCCGCCTGCCTTCACCAGTCCTCCCAATGGACTGCACACTTTATCCACAGTTTCTGTGGTCCCGGGTGCTTCTAGTTCCTATGCTTCGTGGGGGTTTTTATGGAGTCAGTTGGGTTGGTGTCTTTAATGGTTTGCTAGGGCTGCTGTCACAAAGGGCCACAGTCTGGGGGCTGGAAGTCCAACTCAAGCCGTCAGTAGGGTTGGTTCCTTCTGGAACCCTCTCCAGAGGGAGGATGTTGCAGGCCTCTCTCCCAACTTCTGGTGGTTAGCTGGCCATCGCTGGCTTTCCTTGGCTTGGGGTTTTCTCACCCGACCTCTGTGGTCACCTCCACGGGCACTCTCCCTGTGGGGGTGTCTGTCTCCAAATCTCCCCTTTTATAAAGACATGGGTCATATTGGAGTGGGGGCCCGCCCTACTCCAGGATGACCTCGTCTTAACTGATTACCTCTGAAATGATCCTAGTTCCAAATAAGTTCACATTTTTAGGTCCTGGGGTTTCAGACTTCAGTGAACTTCGAGGGGACGCAAGTCAACAAATAACGGTCTTTGCCTGGGGTTTTTCCTGGGAAGCAGAGCCTGAGGCAAGGGTTTATGTGCAGTTTATTCCAGGATACGCTCCATGGGAGCAGGAGTGGGTGATGGGGGAGAGTCCATTAGGGATAGAGAGAAAGTCAGTAGCAGGGAATGTTCTTAAGCTGGACACCGACTGTGAGCTCGATCTTACCGGAACCTTCCGAGGGACCACTTTAGAATTGTCCCCAAGGGAAGGAAGAGGATGGAATGGATCCACTGGTCTGTACCACCCCCCTGCCTGCTGTGGCCCAAGGTCGCCGCACGGGGCATTAACTCCCTTGTGCCTCCAGGTCACACATGTGTGGGTGCCCAGCAGCTCCCCACGAGCATCTCACATGACAGCCCCCCGGGCAGAGAGCGAAAGAGACCGAGTGCAGCTTAGGGGAGGTGCTGACAGGTAACCCCTGCGTGGATTGGTTGCTATGGCAGGGGCAGGACTAGAAGGTGGGCCGAGAAAACGTGAGAGAAGCCACAGAGATGGATGGCCACCCGTCGCTGTGCTCACGTCCTCCCCACAGCCTGGTGGGCTGGCGCGTTTGGGGCAGCAGCCAGCCCGGCGTCTTCACGGGGACTCGAGTGGACACCATCACAGGCCCTGTAGCTGCAGCGGGGGCCAGGTGGAGCTGCTGTTCCTCATCCCTCCCTTCCACCATCCATTCTGGAGTCCTTCGCCCTTGGCCACTTGGCTGGTGGGGTGTTCTGGACATTTGTCCCCGGGTGTCTGAGCCCGTAGTCGCCTTGTCCGTGCCGGTCCGTGGTTGTGGCAGGTGTCCAGTAATGACCCGGCCACTGCGGTGAATCTTCTGGATTCCTTCCTAGCCTCTAGTGTGGTGGGGACCTGGCCCCTCCTGCTAAGTTAACTACCTCCTCCTTTCTTGGCCTTCTCGTTCCCTGACGTGTGGCCCCTGAAAAGCCAGGAGGTAACCTAGCACCCATTTTGTCTGGGGATACGTAGACATGTTCCCTCTTTGGGGGCCGGACCCTGGATTCCAGAAGAGTCCAGCCTGTGGGGACAAGAAACACCGGTTCTAACAACGAGCCCCCGAGAACAATGGTGAGCGTGGCCGAGCCTTCTTCCGCCCCGTTGTGGCTGGACCCACGTGTTCTAGCTGTTGGGGCCACAGTGCTACATACCCGCCTTTCATTCAATGCTTATACCTCACCCTGAAGGGCAGTGTCCCTACCCTCAAGGTGTTATCTGTCCCCCAGCTGGTACCTTACCTGAATGCTTAATACACCATACCATTGTTTTATCAGACGGGATACTTCTCGATGGTGGTGTGGAATGTGTTGGGATCAGTGGATCCTGTGGTCATGTGCCCACATCACACCCCCTTTGCCACACAATGGGTCTCTTGTCTGGGGTGACTTTGTGGGGGGACCCATGACACTAACTTATTCACTCTGTATGCCTTGGGATGGGGGTGCTGCGTGGCAGACAGGGGAGGCACGTTCTTACACGGATGAGTCAGTGCTCCCTCCAGGGAAGAAGGCACCTGCGGTTGATAGATGGGCCAGCATCCATGTAGAATGGAACCAAATCAAGGGCTCAGTGTGGGTTCCAGGCTGGAAGGTTAGGTATTCAGCGGTGGCAGTAGCTATGCTGAGGAAGCCCAAGACGCTGAGCTCCCACCCACAGCCCCCATCCTCGCCACCGCGGGCACTCCGTGCAAGCCCCGGGGCGGCTGACCCGTACTGGAAGCTTCGTCCTTTCCGTCTGGTTCTTCATCGCTCCCTGGGTTCTCGACGGGCATGGGCCCGAGACACAAAGATCATCAGGCTTTGCGCTCACTCTCGTACATCCACGCACACACCCTTCCGCCCAGACGATGTCTTCTCCACTCTTCTGGTCTTGTTCTTTCCAGGCCCACCGAGCAGCCGGCCAAGCCATTCATCGCTGCCCAGCCGTCCAAGAATATCCACTCTCCGGGGCCTTTCTCCGTCCACACCAAGCGAACAAACACGTGCTGTGCTCTCAACTCTACCCCCTGGGGACACGTTCCCTCGTTACCGCCCTTCGGGGGCGTCCCCGAGAGGAGCCTAGTGTGGCGACGGTCCGTTTTGAGCTCATGTTAATATATCAAGCTGGGGATAGATTACCTGTGAATCACTGACCTAAGAAACATACATGTCCGTCCCCCCTCCCCCCCACCCCCGGGGCCTGCTTTGGCCTGATCCCAAATGTGCCATTTCCGTTGTGTGGACATTTGCCACTCTTCCTGCCTGACCACGCAGCTCTGTGCCTCTGAGAGTCACTTGATGTCCTGAGGCCACGTGCTTGTTCTCCACGAAGGCCCAGCAGGACACCAGGAGCTGATTTTCAAATAGCGACTCGTACTCTGGTGGAAGGTATGTTGTAGCTACGTTTTGCAACCTCTCGAACTGGGGCTGGACCCTCTTGTCCCCCGCAGATGACGCTGGCATCAGCAAATCTGCTTGGCCACATGGCCCGAGTGGCAAGGATAGCACGTCCTACAGCCAGAGCCTGCTTCAGGGTCCTCCTCCGGGCTTGTCATCGTTTGCCTGGAAACCGGACGTCGTCCGAGCCACCTGATAAATGCGGGTTGCAGCAGTCTTTCCAAGAGCGATTTATGCGGTCGCCCCCAATCTCGAGAGGTTCGCCAAGTGCCAGACGTCTCTAACGGCAGAAGGCAGAAGATGTCACAAGTCGCCCTGTCGCGTAGACAGGATGTCCTGGCCTTTCCCAGACCACAGGAGCCCTGAAAATATCACCGGTGTGGCAGGGCCCTTATCACATACCCTCCTACCTAAGTATTTGTGTCTCGCGTGGGCGTGAAGGGTGCTTCCTGCTTCCTACTCACCAGATCCCGTCGGTACGATGCCATGAATAAACTGGACCCGCATGATGTTCTGCCGAATGTCAGAGCGATCCAGTTCCATGTGGACAGAGAATAGAAGAGTAAACTTAACTGTAATAAGACAGCAATGGTAGTGATTTGAGAGCTTTCTCCTCTTTTAATCAGGCATTTAGAGCTGCACAATCCCCTCTAAGTACTGCGTTCACTGCCTTCTATAAGTTTGGGTATATATTAATGTAAAATAATTTTTTAATGTTTATTTTTGAGAGAGAGAGAGAGAGACAGAGGCAAAGCATGAGCCGGGGAGGGGCAGAGAGAGAAGAAGACACAGGATCGGAAGCAGGCTCCAGGCTCCGAGCTGTCAGCACAGAGCCGACGCGGGGCTCGAACCCACAGGCCGTGAGATCATGACCTTGAGCTGAAGTCGGACGCTTAACGGACTGAGCCACCCAGGCACCCCGAAACTTTATACTTCTTAAACACTAACTCCCCGCTCTCTCCTCCTTCCCGCCCCTGAAGCCACCCTTCTACATTCTGGTCCTATGAATTGGACTCAGAACCTCATATAAACGGAACCACACAGCATTTGTCTTTCTGTGACTGGCTAATTTCACTCCACATCATGTTCTTACGGTTCATCCGTTTTGTGGCGTGTGTCAGAATTTTCTTCCCTCTTTAGACTGAATAATTCATTCTAGGTATATCACATTTCGCTTATCCGTTCATCCATCAATGGACACTTGGGTCGCTTCTACATTTAAGCTATCGTGAATAATGCTGCACTAAACACGGGGGTACAAATGTCTCTTTGAATCTCTGCTTTCAATTCTTTTGAGTAGACACCCAGAAGTGGAAGCCGGATCGTGTGTTAATTCTGTTTTTAATTTTTTGAGGAACTGCCATACCGTTTTCCACCACTGCCATCCCAGGCTACACTCCCGGCGGTGAATGAGGAGGTTCCGGTTCCTCTGCATCCTTGCCAGCCCGGGTTATGACCCGTTTTTTTGATAGCAACCATCCCAATGGGCGTAGGCTGGTCTCTCACTGTAGTTTTGATTTGCCTTTCCCTCATGATTACTGAGCAGCTTTTCAAGTACTGATTCGCCATGTGTGTATCTTCTTTGGAGAAGTCTCTGTTCGGGTCCTTTGTCCATTTCCGAGTTCAGTTATCATGTTTTAGGAGTTCTTTGTATATGCTGGATATTAATCCCTTGGTAGATGAACAACATGCAGATACTGTCTCCCATTCTGTGGGATGCCTTTTTACGCTCTCCATACATCACCCTCTCTGTCGTTTGGTGGACAAACGTTTTCCATTTTCATGAAGTCCTAGCCAGGAAGGTCATTGCCAGGTCCAGTGTCCTGAAACTTGTGCCCGGTGTTTTCTTGTAGCAGCTTTTATGATTTTAGGTCTCCCTGTAAGTCATGGATCCATTTTGAGGTACCCGCACGTGGCATTAGGTCCAACTTTATTCTTTTGTACGTGGATATCCAGCGTTCCCAGCACCATTCATTGGAAAAACGATCTTTCCCCCACTGAATGGTCTTGGAACACCCATCAAAAATCATTTGACCGTATGTGTGAGGGTTTGTGTCTGGACTCTCTGTTCTATTTTATTGGTCTGTATGTGTGTCTTTTTAAAAAAAAACAACAACAACACAAAAATCTTTTTTTCAAATCTTTCTTTATTCTTGAGAGAGAGACAGGGTGTGAGCAGGGGAGGGACAGAGAGAGAGGGAGACACAGAATCCGAAACAGGCTCCAGGCTCTGAGCTGTCAGCACCGAGCCCGACGCGGGGCTCAAACCCACGAACAGCGAGATCATGACCTGAACCGAAGTCGGACGCTCCACCGACTGAGCCCCCAGGCGCCCTGTATGTGTGTTTTTATGCCAGCACCACAGCGCTTGGGTTACTGTAGCTTCGCAGTTCAGTGTTGAAGTCAGGAAATGTGCATCCCCAGTTTTGTTCTTTTTCAAGATTGCGTTGGGAACTCAGGGTCCCTTGAGATGCCATCTGAATTTTAGGATGGGTTTTGCCCCACTCTACAAAGTGAAGTTGTTCCCTCCCATCACCGAAAACTCCAGGAGTGGACCATGAGACTCCAGGCACGGATAGATCCAGGGTCTCATTCCCTCCAGATCTCAGGTCCTTCCTTGGAATGTCCTCCCTCTATGGAGACACAATGGCTGCTGGCAGCCCCAGAGCCACATCTTATCTGCCCGGCAATCTCAGAAAGTCTCCGTCTCGACAGTCGCGCGCTGTTACCTGAAGAAGGTGGACCAGGTCTCAGGCAGGCCAAACGAAGGGGGTGGGGAGGGTCCCTACAACGGTCCCATTCTAGTGTCAATCCCTGCTCCTTCCCCATCCCGGACAGGGGCCAGGCTCCCTTTCCTGAGCATCCTGCTGGTTGGGCTCAGGATCTTTTGCCTTCCTCCCTCCAGATCCCTGTGCCCATGTGTTCCAAGGACTGCCAGCCTGGGCAAAGGAAGAAGCCCGTGGGTATTCATCCCTGCTGCTTCGAGTGTCTCGACTGCCTTCCAGGCACCTTCCTCAACCAAACTGCAGATGGGACTCACAGACCCACACCCCTGCCCTGCCCTGCTCTGCCCTGCCCCGCCCTGGGGTTCTCAGGGCCCTTCATCTTTGGCAGGGTCCCTGGAGTCTCATCCAGGGGACACAGGTGTCCAAAGGCCAGGGACCATGTCTGATTCCGCTTGTATCTCCCTAACCGCTGGTGTAAGAAAAATCTTCAATGCTGTGAGGGCGTGGGGGTGGGAGAAGGAACAGCCCTCAACCAGGCGAGGCTGTAACTGATCCCCTCTGCACACACATGTAGCTGAGGGCCCAGGGGGGTCAGGCCAGAGAATGTCCACTGGATGAATGAATGAATGAACGAACGAACAAACACACAAATGAATGAATGTCTCTGTCCATAGAAGAAATGTTTCTGGCAGACAGGGCTAGGATCTAATTTCTCTCTGTGGCCTCCCGAGTGCCTCGTGTAGTTCGGAGGATATAATGTTTGCTCGGTGAATGTTTATTGAGTGACATCCTTGATGAGAAGAATTGACATCTCCCCCTATAGATCATAAACTCCAGGAAGGGGGGGACAATGTCATCCCTCCAGTGTTTAGCACAGTTCACCGTTGGGGCCGAATTATTATTTTTTTTCATGACTTCACAGATTAGTAACTAAGCGGTTCTGTACATCTACCGATCAGAGTACTTACGACGTGCCCAGCAGAGCCCAGGGCACAGAGTAGGTGCTCAACAAAAGTTTGTTTGCAATTGGTCAGTAGCCGGAAGTCAGGGGGCTCGGTTTTATCCACGTCTGTGCTCTCCCATCTCAGATGCCTATCACAGTGGATGGCGCTCAAAAAGCAACTTGAATAAACGGTCGAATGTCCATCTCACCAGAGGGTACGGTCTTGGAAGGGAGGCATTATGGTTGCCAGGCTCTGAGTCAAGGGGACCTTGGACCACATCCTGCCTCTGTAACTGTCTGGTTTTGTAACTGCCTGGAGGAGCCTCAGATGCCACATCTGTGAAATGGGGTTGCAGTGAGGATCTGATGGGCCGGTGGATACGAGGGACGCAGTGAGAGGTGGCTACGACCACAGGCATCGCCCTTGGCTCGCCCCCTCCCTACCCCTACAGCCTGGCCGGGTGCAGGTGCAGAGGATGTGGGTGCCGGGAAGGTGGGTGTATCTGACGGGAACTGCTGTGGGCTCTTGCAGACGAGTTTGGCTGCCGGCTCTGCCCGAGTTGCGGGTGGTCCCGGAGGAACGATGCTTCCTGCTTCAAGCGGCGGCTGGCCTCCTTTGAATGGTGCGAGGCACCCGCCGTCGCTGTGGCCGTGCTGTCCATCCTGGGCTCCCTCCGCACACTGGCCATCCTGGTGATCTTCTGGAGGCACCGCCACGCGCCCATGGTTCGTTTGGCCGGGGGCCCCAGGTGCTTCCCGATGCCACTGCTGCTGGCATAGGTGACGGTCCCCATGTACGTCGGGCAGCCCACGTTTTTCATGTGCCTCGGCCGCCAGACCCTCTTCACCCTCTGCTTCACCGTCTGTATCTCCCGTGTCACCGTGCGCTCTTTCCAGATCGTCCGCGTCTTCAACATGGCCAGGCACCTCCCGCGTGCCTACGGCTACTGGGTCCGCTACCACGGGCGCTGTGTATTTGTGGCGTCCTTCACGGTGCTCAAGGTGGTCATCATGGCGGGCAACGTGCTGGCCACGACCGCCGAGCCTGCCGCCCGCCCCGACCCCGATGACCCCAAGATCGCGGTTCTCGCCTGCAACTACCACAACGTGCTGCTGTTCAACACCAGCCTGGACCCGCTTCTGTCCGTGGCGGGCTTCAGCTTCGCCTACGTGGGCAAGGAGCTGCCCACCACCCACAACGAGGCCAAGTTCTTCACCTTCCGCATGACCTTCTGCTTCACCTCTTCCATCTCCCTCCGTACCTTCATGTCTGTCTACGAGGGGGTCCTGGTCACCATCCTGCACCTCGTGGTCGCAGTGCTCAACCTTCTGGGCGCTTTGGCTCCTGGGCTACTTCAGCCCCAAGTGCTGCGTGGTCCTCTTCTACCCGGATCGCAACACGCCCGTCTACTTCAGCAGCATGATTCAGGGCTACACCACCGGGAAGGACTAGCACTGCCCCCTGGCTGCCCAGGGGGCCAGAGGGCTCCGCCCTGGGAGATGGAGACCGGGGGTGGGGCTGGGGGTGGTGGTGACTCGTTCAGCCCCTGCTGGGAGCAGGGACGCCACCCCGCCCTACTCTCTGATTTGGCCTCCCCCTCCAGGTTCTCTGCCCCCTGGCCGTTTTTACCCACCCGCTGGTGGATGCCTAAAAATACGCTTTCCCTGCAGCTGTTTGGCTTGCCAGGCACTGCCACCCATGCTAGGAAAAGGATCCGGGGTGACCTCCCTATTGGTCTCCAAGACAGAGATGGATCGAAGCAGCCCACAGTCGCCATCTGGTGGTCACAGCGGGTGTCCGCAGGTTCCGGCTCGGGGCAGCCATGCTGGAAGGCTGGGCTGGGGCTGGTGTTGGGGGACATCCTCCCGGCATCATTCACTCCCTGCCCACGTGTCTGCGCCTCACCTCCCAGACTCCCCCGCCGCCCAGCTTGGAACCCAGTTTGGGACCCAGCTTCTCTGAGTCATGGCTGCGCATAGGGGCTGCTTCATAAATGCTTATGAATAAACCTCCCTTGGGTGAAAGGAAGGCGTTTCCTTCTTGTTTCCAGAGGTTCCGCCCTCCCCCCCCCCCCAAGAAAGAAGACTGGGATCGGAGACCTCAGCTTCCATTTCCGCGTTGACACTTCTGAGCTGTGTACTTTGGGCCAATTCTATTTACTGTTTTGGAGCCTACACGGCCCCTTCTCTAAAATAGGAACAATAAACCAAGGGCACCCTTGACACACTGTGTATTAGCCAATTTGACGATAAATTATATTTAAAAAGATTAAAAATAAATCAGATAAAATAGGAACAATACCTACTTCACTGGGACATAGGAGGATCGGAGAGAATGGGCGTGAAGTGCATACAGTAGGTGGTCAATAAATGCCAACCATTTTGCAAGTTCACATGTCCCTCGAACCATCAGGCTTCAAAAGGAGGCTGTGTCTCCTTTTTACACCCAAATGTCCATGGTATATGTTCGAGTCCGTGGTACCAGCCTCTTGCGGCAACTGGCTTTGCCCCCAGAAAATTCTGGGTGTCGTCTTGCGGTACTTGGGCCCCCCCATGTGCTCGGAGCCGCCCCGGCACCGCTGAACCTGGAAGACGCTGCCATGCTGAGTTCAGCTGTGCCTGTGCCCATCACCCTCGATGGCAGGAGGAGCCCTGACTTCGCCGTCCAGGGGTCAGAGCCGGCCTGTCACAGCTCACCAGGGAGCCCCAACTTCCCTGCCGACGCCTCCGAGCTGCAGCCTGGAGAGGCTGAGTGACGGGCTCAGGAATCAGTTACTGGGGTGACCTCGTGACTGTGTCAGGACTCCCCTGGGAGTGATTTCTAGGTTGGCCCAACACCGGCCCTGGCAGGAGCAACTTTCCGGAAGCTTCATGTGAGGCAGGGAAGGCAGGACTCCCTCTGGTCCTGAGTCTCTGTCCTTCATGCTTCAAGGTGGCGGGTGATGGGATCTCGCTTTGAATCACCTGGAGTTTGGGAAAACAGCCTCCGTATTTTGGGAGCTGCTTCTCCGTAACAGCAATGGCAGGGACGGTCCTCGTTTCCCTTTCCTGAGCATCTTTCCAGAGCCGGCCCACAGCAGGTGCTCCATGAATATCGACCGGACTGAGTCACGTTGCTCGTCCCCCCTTCTCCTCCACCACTGTTCCCTCAGGCCACTGCATCATGAATCCCATTCACGTCCCGTGGCCTTGCGTGCCGGACCCTGAGAGGCGTCTAGAAATACAGGACAGGGCCGCCTGGGTGGCTCGTCGGCTGAGAGTCCGACTGTTGATTTCAGCTCGGGTCATGATCCGAGGATCGTGGGTTGGATCCCCGCATTGGGCTGAGCGTGGGGCCTGCTGAAGATTCTCTTTCTCTCGGGGCGTCCGGGTGGCTCAGTCGGTTGAGCATCCGACTTCGGCTCAGGTC